TAAGGAAATGTATATTTTTTATACTGTCCTAATGTGATATTAAACCCAGAAAATAAAAATGTAATATATTGAGGCTTAGCAACCCTTTAGGGCCCGTTCACACCTAATTTTGTGGGACAGTGTTGGGCGGCTATTCCAGTGCAGTCCTGCTATGTAGCCAGTTCACACCACCACATTGCAGTGGTGTGCGCTGAAAAAATGTATGGTAGACATACTTTTTTAGTGCAGCACAGTGTGAGGAAATCCACCACCTTGAGCAGCACAGCTACCGAAAGAACATAATAAAATGTCACTGTGTGACATTCCAAAAAAAATTTTGTCAAGAAAAAAAAATGTGAACAGTGCAATGCGCTGTGATCAGGCACCAGCATTGCAGTTAATCTACCACATTGCACCACACACCAGCCACTGAGCTGAGCAGGCTCATTCACATTTAAAGGCTTCCCTGGCCCCATGCCAAGCCTCCTGCTTGGGGATTGTCCAAGTGTGCAGGCCAGCCCCTCCTCACCCCTGCCCAATGCTTCTAAAATCTTCTCCAATGTTCTAGAGCAGGTGGAGGTATCAGGGAACTGACCTGCAGAGACCCTCAGCCCTGACCAAAATTTGACCCTGCTGACTATTTACCCATTCTACTACTCAGCCTTTCTAACTAAAAATTAGCAACTAGCATCCCCTGGCTATCTAAAGGGGTGTACTACTCCCTCACCCCGCTAGAAAACAGCCATGTCCTCACTGGCTGAGAGTCAAAAAAATTTGTTCCTGAGCCCAGGAATGGAGCGTCCCATACTGGAAAAGGGGAGGGGAAAGGGGAACAAACTTGGAAGGGTATACTAAATAAGTAGAAAAAATAGAAAATAAGCGTAATATACATATTTACAGTAGCAACATATTTACATCCTGTCTATATCTGTCTGACTAATATCAGGAAAAACAAACAATTTACACCAACATACTGTGGGGAAAATAATTATTTGATCCCCTGCAGATTTTGTAAATTTGCCCACTTACAAAGAAATCAAAGGTCTATCATTTTTATCATAGGCATTTTTTAAATGATAGACAGAATATCAACCAAAAATCCAGAAAAAACACATGATACAAATGTTATAAATTGAGTTGCGATTCAGTGAATAAAATAAGTATTTGATCCCCAAGCAAAACATGACTTAGTACTTGGTGGAGAAAGACTTGTTTGCAAGCACAGGTAAGATGTTTCTTGTAGTTGGTTACCAGGTTTGCACACATCTCAGGAGGGATTTTGGTCCACTCTCCTTTACAGATCTTCTCTAAATCCTTAAGGTTTCTTGGCTGTTGCTTGGCAAGTTGAAGTTTAAGCTCCCTCCATAAATGTTCTATAAGATTAAAGTCTGGAGACTGGCTAGGCCACTCAATGACCTTGATGTGCTTCTTCTTGAGCCACTCCTTTGTTGCCTTGGCGGTATGTGTTGGGTCATTGTCATGCTGGAAGACCCATGCATGACCCATCTTCAGTGTTCCAGCTGAGGGAAGGGAAGAAGGTTCTTATCTAAGATTTTGCAATACATTGGCCCGTACATGTGCCTTCTTGAGGAGGGTGACCTTGCGGGTGTCGCAGGATTTCAGTCCATGGCAGCGTATTGTGTAACCAATGGTTTGTTTGGTGACTGTGGTCCCAACTGCCTTGAGATCATTCACAAGCTCCTCCTGTGTAGTTCTGGGCTGATTCCTCACTTTTCTCATAGTCATCCTTACCCTGTGAGACGAAATCTTGTATGGAGCTCCAGACCAAGGGCGATTGATTCTTCTTTTGTATTTCTTCCATTTGCGAATAATCACTCCACCAGTTGTCTCCTTCTCACCAAGCTTAATGCTGATGGTCTTGTAGCTCATTCCAGCCTTGTGCAGGTCTACAATCTTGTCCCTGACGTCCTTTGACAGCTCCTTGGTCATTTGCCCATGATGGTGAGGTTTAAATGGAAGAAAGAGATTCTGTGGACAGGTGTCTTTTACACACATAACAAGTTGTTGTAAGGAGTACCTTCCTAAATTGACAGGACTAATCTGTGTTCCACATAAGCACATAGCCAGTCTGTGGGAATCAGAATTATTATTAGTTGATAGGGGATCAAATACTTATTTTACTCACTGAACTGCAACTCAATTTATAACATTTGTATCATGTGTTTTTTTTTCTGGATTCTTGGTTGATATTCTGTCTCTATCATTTAAAATACCTATGATAAAAATGATAGACCCTTCATTTCTTTGTAAGTGGGCAAACGTACAAAATCTGCAGAGGATCAAATAATTATTTCCCCCACTGTATGTACAGACATACATCACAGTAATATGGAGCACCTCCCCCTCCAGGGAAATCCTCCATGAGAGAAATGAACCTTCTTGGTACTGGAGCAGGAAAGACAGCCATCTTTGGGTACCTGCAGAACAGTAGAAGACAAAAAAACAAGCAGAGAAAAAAAAATGACATAGCCCTGACTCTGGCTAACTGGGTAAATTAGATTGCAAGGCACTTCAGCAATTCAAATAAAACCAAAGAAATATTGCACCTTTTGTAGTCTGCAAAAGAGTCCATATTTTGAGAACATAAGGAGGAACCCCTTCCTATCAAGATAATGAGACCAGGCGGTCTCCCAGCATCTTCTCCCCAGCCAGCATATCTGGGAAATCAAAAAGGGGAAAAGTTCAGCCTAGTCCGAAAAGGGATACCAATAAATGCTAAACTGGAATTCTCCTTCAGTAGTACTTCCAGTGGCTAAGCAGTCTCACCATGGTGCCATCAGGTTTCCAGCCGGCCACTGAGTAGCTGCAATTAGGCTGGCCAGCTTTGACGACCATTACCCAGTTCCTCTAAATGGCCCGGCCCCTGGCTATTCTTCTATCCATTCGAATGGTAGTTTTTCGCTTTCTTCCCCGTCTTTCAGGTTTTGGTTGCCATTTTAAAGCATTTGCGATAATTTTAGCTGAGCAGCCTATCATTTTCTGCACTTCTTTATATGTTTTCCCTTCTCCGATCAACTTTTTAATCAAGGTACGCTGTTCTTCTGAACAATGTCTGAAATGACCCATTTTCCTCAGAATTTCAGAGAGAAATGCACTGTAACCAGCATGTACAACATTTTTGCTGTCTTCCTTCCTTAAATAAGGGCAATAATTGCCACCTGTTTTTCAAAGAATGAATGACCTCACTAATAGAACTCCACACTGCTATTATTTTGAACATGCCCCTTTCAATTAGTGATTCAATTACACAGAATCAGCAACATGCATGTCATGACTGTTGGGTCTGTTGGATTTCTATTATTCTACTACACCTGCTAGTAAATTATTTGCCATGTAGAAATATCATTTCTACCAAAAACAGTGATTGGTCAGGTTAGTGATGTCTGACTGCTATTATTTTGAACACAACTGTAAATGCAGCAGAGTAAGACAAGCCGGTCAGTATCAAGCGGACAGATAAAGTACAAGGGAGCAGGCAAGCGGATGGTCAGGGATAGCTGAGGTCGGTGCAGGTGGAGTTTTTTCTTAGGCAGGCAAATCAGAATACAGGCAACAGGATCAGGTAATATGTGCAGGAACGTTGTAGACCAGAAGGCATTGATTTTACTGTTCTGCAGATTTAAATAGCCCGCCTAGCGTGACGTGTACGCTTACTACGCATGTGCGCATTTCCGCACTACTGCGCATGCGTGCCCGCACGCTCCCGCGCGCTTGCACACTCGCACTACCACGACCCGAGGGGATCCGTCGCCGTCGCATGGCTGCATGGCAGGATCCCTAACAGAAACCTTAGTTTTCCACACTATTAGAGCTAAATGTGGAACACAATGAAGGTAATATAAATAAAATTATGTAAAGTGGAAGTCCGGTCAAAAGCTAACTGAGCTTAAATCTTCCACCCCCTTTTTAAGCCCTATGCTAGCTACCCTGTAAAGGAACAATGTGTACTTACATAATCTAAGCGTGCTCCAGTCCAGTCAGGTGATCTCCCCATTAGCCGGCTTCAGGAAAGAGGAGAGAGCAGTGACAATGGCAGCAGAGCCTGATGGTGATGCCACCCATAGACTTACTATGGGACATCTGTGGTCCACTGCCCCTCCTCTACAGTGAAGCCTGCTCTGGGATCCGATCACATGACCAGACCAGATCACCCTTAGATTTGGTAAGTATACATATCTTTTCTTTACAAGATAGTTAGAATAGGGTAATGTTTTCCAAAAGATACTGTAATCAGTGATGCTGGATCGTCTACTTCTTAACACATTTTTCTTGTATTACCTTCCCTTGTCATATTTAAATCCCATTCTATGCTGCCTTGATGCACCAGAAGGAGAAAATTGTATAATTTACTTTTTATAGTTTTCTTTCTTGGTGCGTATCTTCATGGCAGCATACAATACTGTAATTCCCACCCAATCTTATGGCTTGTTATATTTACAAAATGTAAGGTTTTCTTTGGTGGGAAAGAATTTAAAGATAAGTGGATAGTGCATTAACCTATCTTAAGCTACAACAAAGGTGCACCTGAAAAAGAAAAGATAAGTAAACAATTTTCTTTATTTTTTTCATACAATTTCAATAAATGGGATTGTATATTTGTCTACTGTCTACTATTTTTTTTCTACTATGTATATAGTGAATCCTTTGGGGTTTTTTTTTTCAGTTTTGTTTCCCTTAATTTAGAAATGTATCTTGTGGCAGTCATCTAATACAGGTTCAATGTTTTGCTTTAACAAATTTAAAATGCAATGGAGATTTTCAGCCTGGAAGAGCTTGTAGCAATTAAATTTGATATTAACGTGTTACTAAACCCAGGACCCTGCATTCTCCCACAGTACACAGATCTGTAAATGCAATTATTTTAGTACATATAAACTGCTAAATATCTTTTCTCTTCAGAAGTTAGAGCAGTCTTGTGACTTCTATCAGTGTTCAGCCAAGCACTAGCTAAAGCCTGTAGGAGTTTTCTTTCTGCTCTAGGAGAATGCAAAACCCCTGACCCTCTGTCTGGACAGTGCTCATTGACCCTCTGCTGATCACATGCACTCTCCCAAGAAAAAAAAACCTCTCTAGAAACAGACACCAAACTGAGCATGTGCAAAATGCCCATGGTTCAGTCTGTCTTATCAGGATATAAGAGGTGGTTGCTTAAACAAGGGGAGAAACAGAGCAATCAGGATCAAACGGCCTTCTTACACAATGCAGAGGCTTAACCCCTTAGGTTCCACAGTGAGTCTAACAAATATGCATTACTGCATATACAGACTGATTTTAATGTTGTGGGTTTAGTAACACAATAAAATATTCTAGAGAAGGCACTCGTTGTCCAGCTCTAACTCTTACCAAGTGCACACTAAATAACTTAGTTCACATTTGCAAAATTGGGGGATACTACTGTGCAACATTTATGACACCTACTGTTATCCCCAGCATGTCCCTTGCCAGCCAAACAATCACTGAGAACATGGGAATCCAGTCTTATGCTTTAAATAAGATGGAAAATTAGTCAAAGAGATGCAAAAATATTCATGTCTTTCATTTTACTACATTTGCAGCAACATTTGTGACAGCTTTCTTTGCTTAAGCTGAGACAAATGCAGCGAGTGCTCAGTCTTTTAAGTTCTTGTGTGTTTTTAGACAAAGCTATGTCATTATCTTATTCAGGCTTTGTTAATGATAGGGAAAGTTGGATGTAAAAAACAAAATACAGGCATCTTAAAGGAGAGAAGGCTACACAGTAATTAAAACAAAGAAAGGCTCTCATTATTTTCTTTCTTGTCTTTCTGAGAAAGCTGGTGAAATCTAATGGTTTCTTGTTCAATTGGGGTCTGAGACAGGGGATAATAAAAAGGATTTAGGCATATGTCAAGGCAAAATTAAAAAAAAAAAAAAAAAAAAAAAAAACATGCAGTACATCTCTACAATACATGCACATCCCCTTTCTTTCATCCCTTTAAAGACTGTGCAAGTGAAGAAAAAATATCTGCTGATCTGCCAGAAATTCATGCAGCTCATAAGCCCTGTTGTGGGTTGATAAAAAGGTGTTTTTCTGGGCTGAGTGTTGTCAGTCCTGCCCAGGGGCGGACTGATAACTCATGGGGCCCCTGTGTCCTTGCCCAAACTTAAAAAAGCCTATGAAAAAAGGTACCAGAGGCATCTCACGGGCCCCCTACTAACCCCGGGCCCTCGGGCAGTGCCTGAGTTTCCAAATGGTCAGTCCACCCCTGGTCCTGCCCAATGTCTTTTGCTAAACTATTCAACCACTACTACTCTCATATCTCTGTAACATAAAGGCACACTAATCTGTAGTCCAAGAAAAGAACTAGAAGGGCTTTTTTACATAACACAAGAAGTGTGCACATGACACAGGACAGCTAAGAATTTGTGACAAAACATAACATGTTATTTGCTCTCCTGAAACAGATATAACAAAATGGCATATAATAATAATAATAGTATGCACGGTAATGTTGTTCCTGATAATATAGAGTTATTCATAAGATACCTGTCTTTGTGCCATTATTCTATATTTTTATATACACTTGTGACTAGTTCTAGTAAGGCTCAGGTTCATTCTGGAAGTCCTACAAAGGTCAGATGTATGTGAGTATAGCAACCAATATTACAGACAGACATCAAAGCCCACACCCTAAAGGGTTAAACAGCAAAGATGTAATAATCACATACATACAGTGATGATATTCTCTCAAAGTAACAACAGTTCCTTGAAATCTTATATAAATGGAATAACTGATCCTAGAGTGAATAAAATAGCTGTAGAATGATGAATCAAAGATATACTAGGTCATCTATTTCAACCAGAAAGATATTGTGATTATAGATCCTTCAGATCACATTCAAGGAAGACTCATCAATGCTCTGTTGGAAAGATAGAACAGTCCTCAGAAGTAAACGTGGAATCACAAAAAAGGCTCTTAACTGGCAGAATCTTCGAAGCATAGTTGTTGCATCCATAAATTGGAGCCAGCACATGGGGTGATATAGCCGATCTGTAAGTACTGTATAGATCTGGTTTTCTACTTTGACCTGTTAGTTTTAAAATACCACATCTAGAGAACAGATTTTGTTCTTTGATCTGTCTGTGATGCACACAAAAAAAAAAAAAAAAACAAAATGCACAAAAACAATTTACATATTAATGTTAAAAAAACTAAAACATTAACTAAAGGGGGAGTGGATAGTAGAGTTATTAAGGGCTGATTACTGTTGTCTAAAGGTTAACATAGGGTAAATACAAACAATTTACATTTAACAAATAAAAAACATTTTTTGTATGTCCTGTGCCTTGCTGCTTTTCTGCTGTCCCCCTTGCAGGATGCAGTGGCATTTCCTGTGGGAGGTGAGGGCAGTTGTCCCCAAGTGAGAACCCGGTTGTCCTTTCTGTATCATCTGCTGGAAGAGGCTGCAGACCACCACTGGCTCACCATCTGCCTGGCAGGAGAGAAAGGAATCCAAAGCAGAGGTGCACAGTGTTACCTGGCTGCCTTAGTGGGCATGCATTACTCCTCTAATGTTTTCCTTCCTTGTTGGACAGCTATCTCCATTTCCAGCCCTGTTTACCCAAATTTCTATCAACTGCCTTGTGTGTATAGAAATGTTTTAAAAAGTCTAAACATTATTTCAGATTTGTATGGCCTTTTTATGGTAACTATTTTTCCCTCTCCCCCCCCCCCCCCCCTTTATAGACAGAAATTGGAGGCTGATAGTGGTGTCACTTTTTCAGAAGAAGACTGGGATCCCATGGTGGATAATATACATAAGAGCTCTAGATCTCTTTCTGTCCATGAGACAACCCTCAAAGTATTCACCCGATGGTATCATACCTCTTCTTGACTACATGTCATGATTCCAGGGACATCCCACCTTTGCCTCCAGGGCAGTGGCCTTGCTGGTACCCTAGTGCATATATTTTGGGCCTGCTCAAGCCTCTCATTGGTGTGGCACAAAATCTCTGAAGTGGCCTCTGCTGTGGCAGATGCCCCGGTGAATCTGTCTATGCAGTCCTGCCTACTGAGAGCACATATCTCGGGAGTAAAGACTGAGGCTATGAGGCTAATCCATACCATCTGTGTATCTACCCTATGGGGCTATTGCCCTACATTGGAAATCGCTCACAATACCATTGGCCACAGCTCTATGAAGAGTTGTTGCGGTAATGCTCATGGAAAAAGTTCATTATATTGGATAAGATGCAAATATTTGACAGAAAATGGGAAATTTGGAAAACTCATAGACATTTACTATATGACTAATGACTACTCATGATTTGATTGATTGAGTTACACTGTTGGTAGCAATATTGCTGTGCCTACCTTCCTACCTATCTTGCTCATGTACTTAATTTCTTTTCTCTTTTTTTTGCCTTACATGATTGTACCTTTTGGAATGAATATTACAGATGTGCCTTGTTTCTGTTGTATATTCTACTTGATGCTGTAATGCTGTTTTTACAGTCTATTTCTTAAAAATATAAAAACATTTGTAAACAAAAAAAAGTCTGAACATGGTCATTTATTTTACATTTCAACAAGTGGCTTCCTGGTCCTGTGGAAAGTGCCCCAACAATCTATACAGTATGCATAAAGTAGATTAAAAATTCATTTTCACCAGAACTAAATGATCAAGGGCCTGCTGATCTTCCTGCTGCTGTTGTGATGTATCATTCTTCTTGGCCATGTCAAACTTGACAGATTGTTTTGACACATTTGCACTTTTGGGAGCCTGGCCATTTTCCTGTTGGGACTACTGCTTACTGCATTTGTGCAACTGTAAGGTAAAATATTGATAAGATGGTTCTGAAAGTAAAACATTTCTTGTCATGTTAATTTTCTGGTTGCTGCTATACATTTGTAAGAATACACTGATATGTTGGAAGCAACGGGAGCCTAGCCATTCCTCTACTGGAGCCCTTGCCTTCAGCAAGTGTGTCACTAATTCAAATTTACTGTTGTAGTACACTGTAGTATACTGCTTGAATTGTTATAGTTCTAATTTTTTCATTGGGTTTTCCCTATGCTCAGGTTGTGTATTTCTGCCTGCTGTTGGGGAGTGTCCCTGGCAATACAACAAGATAAGATACTAATAATTCTGAGTTATGAATATTATTGCTCCCCTGGCTAACCACTAGGATGTTTATTAGCAAAACTACATATTGAGGGAGGATATAAAAATTTAGGATGACCTTTTAAAAAAGGTCTTTTTGCATCTACCTTCTGGGCTGTTGCCAGGAGAGAATGTTATGCTGAAGACCTCTGTCTCCAAGGCTTTGCGAGCGTGAAGCCAAGAGTGAGCGTAGGTTTGGGGCTTGAAGGAGTTACACTGACTTGCTAGAAGATACATCCAAAAGGAGTGAAGCTGGAGCTTTGTTGGAGCACACTAGAGGAAAGATATGTTACTGCTGAGGAGTGTTCTGGAGAGCTAATTTCATGAAAACCTATCACGTTTTTGAAGGTCCAGGAGCAACAGGAAAGTGGAAACACCCACAAAATGACCCTATTTTATTTTCTAAAAGGCATAATGAGTCTTTGGAATATTTAGTTTTTTTCCACAAGTTTATTGGAAAATGTGGAAAGAAGATGAAAATATACTTTTTTAACACAAAGTGGTCAATCTATAAGATATGTTTAACATAATGCTTGGAGATACCAAGAATTACACCCCAAAATACATTTTGCTCTTCCTCCTGATTATGGGGATACCACATGTGCAAGATCTTTTCAATGTCTGAACAGATTATGCGCCCAACATTGCAACAAGTGTAACACAAAAATCAACAAACACTATATAGAAAACAATGTAAACAAAATAATACCTGTGGTTTGAGGAGAGCATTATTCTAAGTCAGTACAGGCAGCAGGCTGACATCCAGGCAGCAGGCAGGAACAAGGTCCATAAAAATTCCTGGGTCAGTACAGGCAGCAGGCAGAAATATGGTCAGCATAGCCAAAGTATTTGTCCAGGCAGCAGGCAGGCACATGGTCCATAAAATGTCCGGGGTCATTACAGGGAGCAGGCAGGACACGTTTTTGTCCAGGCAGCAAGCAAGAACATGGCCCATAAAAGGTCCTGGGTCAGTACAGGCAGTAGGCAGAGATATGGTCAGCACGGCCAAAGTATTGCAGCAGGCAGGAACATCAGGCTTAGGGCCTCAGTCAGGTAGGACCGGGGCACAGGGGTAGAGGCTTCATCCCACCCAATCTCTTCGAAGCCTCCGGACAAACAGACTCACTGATGGGCACTGATGGGTGACAAATACACTGATGGGCAACAGGTACACTGATGGGCAGTGATGGGCAACAGGTACACTGATGGACAGCAGGTGCACTGAAGGGTGACAGGTACATTGGGTACAAGTACACTGATGGGTGACAGGTGCACTGATAGGTGACAGGTACACTGGGTACAGGTACAATGATGGGTGACAGGTGCACTGATGGCCATTAGTAACATTGACGGCCACTGTGACAGGGGCTGTATCTGTGAATGCACTGTGTACAGTACTGTAACTCACTGTTAAAAAGATTCTTCTCCTCACACAAGATCTGTATGTGAGGAGAGTACTCTAGTAACAGCGAGTTACCACTCCGTGTTTACAATTATGTGGTAAAGAGCAGCAGCCAATGGATTTTTACCTCAATAAATGATGGGCTGTGTCCAAGCCCTGATCTGACAGAGCTCCTATATTAACAAGCCAACAACTGTGTTTACGAGAATAAAGGAGCGCTGAACTGACAGGAATGAGAAACTGGAGGCAGAGAGAGAGTGCAGCCTGTAACTCCTCTCGATACGCTCCTCCTCTCCTAGCCTCTTTAAGCACTTGGCTGAAAGGAATAGTGATGCTGCTATTGCTACTACTGTCAGACTGTAGCAGAGGGAACTATGGAACTTGCCATACAGTGACCTCACCCCCTTCCCCAAAATAAACAACTGTGCCCAGGGCAACCGCCCCTCTTGGCCCCCTCATGTCCCAGCCCTGTGCCAACCATCTCCTCCTCCCCAGTCCTTGACTGCTTAAAGAGAATCCTCACCAAAATTTAGAAGCAATGAGTACAACATAAAATAAGAGTACAAGCTTACTCCAAAGATATTGAAAAAGGATAGCACCAGGATGCAAATTATGCCAGGAATGCAAAGGATATAAGGACAAGTAGTGGCATTTAGAACTAATGTATGTATTTATATTGAGTTTAAATATGATATTATGTATATAGATGGTTTGATATTTATTTATTTATCATTTTGCAAAGTTTTGTTTAACACAGTGGACAAAATGTGTTCGGCACAGATACTGGCACAGATTACTTACAAATCAAAAGAAAAACTTGCTTCTTGCTGTGAAAGGAGTTGTGGGCTTGGCAGACCTAGATACCAGCTCATCTGAGATGCCAAGTCACTTAATTATTGTTTTTAAGATGCCAGTTAATTGGGACTGTTAAGCAGTGTAAATTAATTCTCTGTTAATGTTATCTTGGGACTTAATGAAGCAACACTTTTATATTTTCTCATGTTTTCTCTTTTAGTGCTGGCATTGGCATTGGTTTCTATGGAAATAGTGAAACAAATGATGGTGTATATCAAGTGACCTACTCCCTTATGAATGCCAACCACACACTGACCTCCATTGCCTTGCTGGTGAGTTCTCTGATTGATCTCCAAATATTGTTTTGTTGTAGTTTTCATTGGCTTTACTGGTTCCATGCCATTCAAATATACAGAGATATACCACAACAGCATGATGGGGATTATTATTAATATTGTGATTATTAGGTAGCAACTGGAAGAAAGGGGACAGGAAAGGTTACCTACAGAGTAAGATCTCATACATACCGGTACATTTTCTACTACAGACCAAAACATGAAGCTTATTTCATTGCTTAATATATGCAGTTCTTCCACTTTTCCCATACCCCCAGTTTTATGTTAGCTTGTGTGTATGAAGCTAGCATTTAGCGGAGGATTTGCCTACTGGTGTTAAAATATGCCTTCTTGGAAAAGTGGCACTGGCCTGCTATGGATATACCTGGTCTCTAAGTATCAATTAACCACTTCAGCTTTTACACCTGTACACCCCCTGGACCAGAGTAATTTTCACTTTTCTACTATAGGCCTCTTTTTTTCTGCAAGAACTAGTGATTAGTAAATCTCCCTGGAAACTCCTTGTACAATCTGCAAATTGTGAACTTTATTGTGAACCCCACTGAAATCAGTCAAATCTTGAAAATAAATTCTGTAAATTTCTAGGAAAATGGGCAAGGGATTGGCAAACAAATGGCATGAGGAACTGGGCACAGATGGGTGGTGAAAGATGTGTGGAGGAGAGGGGTGACATGTACCAATGGAAGAGAAAAAATTGAATAAATACCATTTTGCAGGAGAGTACTCTCCATTTTATACAGTTTCAAGGGCAACATGGGAAAAACACTGATTTACATGCTTCAGATGGTGGAAATAATCTGTATCTGAGCACAACAAATTGAAAATGCTATTTAAATAATTTTTAATATTCAAAGTAAACTCACCCATCCATCCATGTGTTCATGCTTTATTTTGTTGATAAATCACTTTGAATAATAAACCCCTAGCATTTCTAGCATTGTGAGTAGTCACAGACGAGTCATGTAGCATTTATTTCCCTAAAATCCATCTGCATTCAGCTCAAGCATGCAGGCAGGAGTATGAGTGTAGTCCCTCTTTCCCTCCTCCAGATGAAGAAAAAAATGCCCATGAAGGCTCCTGGGATGTAGGACATCATTTTGGCCTAAGCCAGAAACCAGGATGTGACTGAGGAAATATAAAAAAAAAAGTTGACATCACTAAATATAATAAACATTCCTATCTATTTACTAGTGTTAGTAGCATAAAAAATAGTTAATGTTGATTGAGAGAATTTGTTCCACTTTAAGCTACATGCAGTGTTACAGAACAGGATGATTGTCCAGGACAAGATCAGCAGCAACATATTCTGCACTTAATTTTATGTGTAATACATTTTTTTAAAATTTTAGATTATTAATTGGCTTACATGAATCAGCAGCACCCCTATCTGATTAATTTTAATTTGAAATAAAAATATTTTAGGTGGTTTTTTGTGACACATGACTTTTTCATCTAGCTGGAACAGGTCAGAATTGAGCAGTCGCAGTAACTGACAGAACAGTTCTAATAAAATAATGCAAAATCCCTCAGCTTCATAACAATTGCCAAACATAGCATAGCATGTGATCTTTAGTGCATTACCACACTGTATTGTCTGTAAAGTTTGAAAAATGGTAACACAGAGCACAGTTCACAGAAAAACACAACAAATCAACAACTCCAAATTCCAGAGATAAGGCAATTGTTATGAATGAATAATAATTACAGAGCCATATTCCAGAGACAATAGTCAGACATATAGTACAGTATCTGGAGAATTATGTATGTATTGCAGGCAAGGTAATAAAAAAACTAATATAAAAATGGAATTGAATCATGTCAGAGACAAGAATCAAAAATATTCCAGAGACACTCTGCATATCATGTAAGCCTTTTTAGTAGGCTGCATTTGAAGAGGGAGAGACAATGCATTTTTTGTCCAGAAATAAAAATTACAGTGAATTATATCAAAGACAAAAGCCAGACATATTAGACAGACACTTTACATACCATGCAAGCTTTTTTTTCAGTAGGCCACATTTGAAGAGTGGGAGAAAAGGAACTTTTTATCCAGTAATTAAAATTACAGTGGATTATAGCAAAGAAAGAGCCAGCAATATAGCAGACATACAGCACATCATGTAAGGGGTTTAGAAAAAAATAACAAACATGTCTACATGTTTTGTTGTGTGCAGTGGTTTTGCACAGAGCAGCCTGTATCCTCCTCTTCTCGGGTCCCCGCAGGCTCTTCTAGTCCCTCCCTCCTGTCGGGTACTACCACAGCAAGTAGCTTGCTATGGAGGCACCATCTGTTCCATGTGTCCATTAACACACAGAGCCAGGGCTCGGCCCCGTCCCCACTTTTCTCATTGACTCACTGGCTGCGATTGACAATGGCTCCCGCTTCTGTCTCAGCCAATGAGAGGAAGAAGTCCCAAGATAGCTGAGACTCCAGGGCACTTCGCTGGATCAAGAGGGGGCTTAGGTGAGTATTAGGGAGGGCTGGAGGGCTGCTGCACAGAGAAGGTTTTTTACCTTCATGCATAGCCTTTAGAAGCACTTTAATCTTGGCATAAAGCAGGCACCTGTTGAGGCCAAATATATCCAATAAAGAGCATTTTAACACTATATAAAAGAAGGAATATTGTTCGCACAGAGGTAAGATGACATACACAGCATAATGCAACACTGTTATGCACTGCAGGAAAAAAATTCTCAAATTTCTTAGCTGAGGAGCAACTGTGAAAACATTAGGTGTGGTACACTGACAGATCCAAAGAATTGTATTAGAGCTGTAGAGTCAGCACAAGATGGTAATTCTGGTAATAGTGTCAGGAAATGGTAATAATTTGACATTATTCATTTATTTATTTATATATTTATTTTTTACATAAACGATCCTTTATGGTATTTAAATACAGGGCTACAGGGACAAACTGCACTGTGCTCCTTGATATTCTATTGCAATCATGATTTTAAGTTTATATTTGATATAAATGTTTTTCTTTTTTTTTACATTTGCCTCAGAGTTTGGTGTGTTTGTTGGTTTGTTTGGTGACCTTTGACATGACTGATGGCTCCACCCCCACCCCTAGTGAGGTCAGGGATGTTCAATGTATGGTTTTTATATATATATATATATATATATATATATATATATATATATATATATATATATATATATTTAGACCTGGGTATTCAGCAGGATTACTTTCATTCCTTCTTTCATTCCTTAGTGTATTATTTAAAATTGGAACTACTCCTGCATTGCTGTGAAACATTCTGACTTTGTGTAAACTGAAAACTATTATAGCAGATCAACATATCTATGCAATGAAGTCTCTGTAGGTAAAACTGAAAAATGCTGAGTAGCTGTTACCATTAGCTAATTCTGATAAAGATAAACCATTACCTCTTATTAGCTTTTGGAAGATCAATAACTACCAGTGGATAAGCATTTTGGCTTGTTGGATAAAAGAAAAATCTTAGGTGATCTTATGTTCTTCAATGTTGGGTATGGGCCTCTTTAGACTGTAGTTTAAATAATCCCAGCCAAGATTTGGCAGAACTTTCATACTTAAGGGCCAGGAATGACTTCAAAGCTGGATTTATTTTGATCTCCTAATTCTTTAACATCAAAGATCCAAAGGTAGCTCTGTTCCTGCAAGTGATTTACACTCTTTTAAATTAATTGCTACTCTTGTTAAGGTCTTAACTAAGATAGTTGGAAAGTAATCGTGCACAGCAACAAGTAAGCCTAATTCAAGCTACTTGTGAATAAGTTTGAGTCAAAGAAAATCTTGACTGAAAAAATGTAAACTTTTTGTTAACTTTTTGTTAACATCGACCAGACCACATATCTTTCAACGCTGCGGCGATACCTTGCAAGGGGGAGAGGCACACCCTCCCCCTTGCAGGGCACCTTGTCCAAACGTTGAGGGACAAGAGCTTCTTTACATTACAGCAGCCATGAATTCAGGCATATGGTCTGCAAACCATGCACGGGCTAGACTTGCTTCAAGACCACATCCAGTGCAAACCCCAATCTCATTCCTAGTGGTGAATACAACTCACTGCATGTGTGTTGACTTTCAGAGCATATAAATGTAGCGGCACCCCTAGGCTCCAGCAATTTCATAGGTCAATTGGGTCTTTTCCTGTATTCTGCCCAGCTGCCAGGCACACAAACACAGTCACTCTTTGGCTCAGTAAACAGTCCAGAGAGGTTCTTTTTTGGAGTTTTTATTTTTTGGAATACTTGAATAGAGATTGGGGAAGAGTGGGATGTTCCAAAAAAGAACTATGTACAAGATGAGTGCACTACCTCTCTTTTTCTGCAGCACTTTAAGCACAGTCTTTGCAGAGGTCAGTAAGGGACTTGGTTTAATTGAAGCAGATGTAGGGCACAACTTGTTTCTTTACGTAACTTGAGCAGAGTCCCTGTAGCAAAGATAGGGTGGACAAAGCTCTTTAGGATACCCGTTTGTACCCCCTTTCTTTCCTGCACTCCCATCTTGACTCTTAAACACCAGAGAGGTGGGTGGCAGCAACCCACAGACTCAAGGATGTCTCACCAGTCTGTACTCACAAGCCCTCAAATGAATGGATGCCTCCTTCCAATGTCTGGTAGTAGTCCCAGACCTAATCCACCATGAGACAGTTCTTCGGTCAGCTTCCAGACCTCTCAGTTAGCCCAGTTGAGGCCTCACATATAGCAAACACATGGCAGGGTTGCCTGGGAGGGCAGCATGCTCTCCACGCTGGACTTCTCCCATCCAGGACAAGAAGACCCCTTGGCTCCAGAGCTCAAACTTTTTATACCTTTACCCAACAGCCACCTGTGCAAGGACCCGCAAGAATGGCTAAGCCAGTATAAATATTCATGCTTTCATCTACATTATTCCACACCTATGTTCACCTATGACTTGGGTAACCCTAGAGATACAGAGCAAGAGTAATTAGATCTGTAGCCTGAGAGCCATGGGGCAATGGGGCAGAATCTAAACAAACACATGCAGCTTCAATGGCTACAAGGAGCTAGAGTGAAATTTGCCTAACCTAGAATTGCAGCCACAATCAGTGGTGTATTTAGGTTTTGTGCTGCCCTAGGCAACAAAAAAAATCGTCCCCCCCCCCTTCCCCCCCCCCCACCACCACCACGCACACACGGAGAGAGCCTGACACCAACCAACACCAACCCCCCTCCACCCCCCCCCCCATAACTCCCCTTATAACGAGAGAGAGAAAAGACCTTCACAGCTCCAGACATCCCCTGGAATGAGAGTCGGGCTCTGCATACACCGTCAAGCAGCCTGCAGCCTCTCTCGGATCCCACCTGGTCCCCATGCAGTGTGTGTCCCTTCTTCTGTCCCTTCTTCCAGGGAACGGTGCTGCCACCCTGAAAAATGCCATCCTAGGCAAATGCCTTGTTTGCCTTGTGGTAAATACACCCCTACCCCTGGCCTACAATGATTACAGTGAGACAAAGCTAAATTTTCCTAACACAAAATACAGATTCACTGGCTACAGTGAGCAAACTAAATCTTCCTACTCGTAGCACCTATCTAGGAGGGTGCTACATAATAAAAAAAAAATAGGCAAGCAGAGGTTATCTTTAGTGAAAACTAAATGTCAGAGCAATCTGTAGATCAAGAGATATAGGCAGCCTAAGTGATATGAAAATCTCCCTCCCATTTCCAGAGCCTCTCTGTTCATCCTTTAATGTAAGGGATAGTCATGTTGAACAGTAAGAAGGCTCAAGACAAAGGGGAGAGTGGGTCATACTTAGCTTTTTAATAAAGGTTAAGAATTGTATATAATTCCAACTGCCTATATGATTGGGTAGTTTTGGTATGCTGTTTTCATTTATTGACATGCACACTTTAAATTTTCCTGGTTTTCTTTAATCTACAAATAATAGATACTCCTTAAAAAGTTACTGGCAAGGGCGGACGGACCATTGAGAACTCGGGCACTGCCCGAGGGCCCGAGGTCAGTAGGGGGCCCCATGAGATGCCCCTGGTACCTTTCATAGGCTTTTCTGGGTGTGGTTTGAGTGTGAGCGAGGACATAGGGGCCCCATGATCTCCTATTGCCCAGGGGCCCCATGAGTTGTCAGTCCGCTCCTGGTTACTGGTCATGTTTTTATTGCTTACTATATCCTCATTGAGTATATTTCCCTCATTTCCTGTCTCATTGATACGAGAACAAGAAATGAGAGGGTGTAGGTGTCAATAGGACAGGAAGGCAAAGAAAGCAATAAAGACCCCAAAAATGTTCTATCACTTCCTCACTGTACTAAAAAAATTATTTGTTGCTGTCTCTGTCCCTTCAGAAAGTTATGTAATCATTTTCTGTCCATGTGTACAGTGGACCCACTATACCACCAGAGCTGAGAGTCTAACAGGCAGAACAGATATAGGCCTGTGTAAGTCCTTAGAGAGTTGGTAACAAACATAATTGCTTATAAAGTGCAGTGGACAGTTGTAAGTAATGTACAGCACAATATATGGGGTGCAACAGTCATTCGTATGCTATAAACATCAAAAGAGTGCAGTGATCCAGAATATGCAAAGTGCAGTACATCATATAGAGCAGACCTTGAAATTTCCACTCACCTTCTCGCAATTGGCGAGTGGAAATAATGTGGGGGCGAGTGTGTGCTGACACTCTGCATAAGACAGGAGACAGGCAATGGCACGCTGGGCTGTATATTATTCCACAGAGAGGAAGGAGTGGGCGGGGCCATGAGCTCCACTGACTCTCTGACCAATTCTAGAGCAGTGGCTGGGCTCCACTCCGGTGTACGGGGACAAGATGGGTGTGACTTGGCATGCAGTGGCCACTCTGATCCCGAGAATCGGACGCCGGGACCCCAACATTTCACCCCACATGGCACTGCTGTTCCTGGAGCTCATGGAGGGATGAGGAGCCCAGGTACTCAGGCAGAGGACGGAGGACACTCCACTTGGATGGATGACAGCCACTGACAACACAAGTAAGAACCTCTCCAGGGCCCCAAACTGTGGATCTTTGACACACCATCATCGTGTGGGGACTCAGCATTTGTATCAGTGGTTGAATTGTACCTTATCATCGGTATCAGTAAAAGGGACAATGGGAGTCCCTTTTACTGATACCGATGATAAGGTACAATTCAACCACTGATACAAATGCTGAGTCCCCACACGATGATGGTGTGTCAATGGGAGGAATGGTGCAGCATCATGGGGTCAGTAGGAGGAATGGTGCCATGTCATTGGTGTCAGTGGGAGGAATGATGCCACGTCATTGGCGTCAGTGGGAGAAATAGTGTCCCACTATTGGTGTCAGTGGGAGAAATAGTGCCCCATCGTTGGTGTCAGTGTTAGGAATAGTGCCCCATCATTGGTGTCAGTGGAAGGAATAGTGCCCCATTGTTGGTGTCAGTGGGAGGAACAGTGTCTCATTGTTGGTGTCAGTGGGAGGAATAGTGCTCCATTGTTGGTGTCAGTGGGAGGAATAGTGCCTCATTGTTGGTGTCAGTGAGAGTAATAGTGCCTCATTGTTGGTGTCAGTGGGAGGAATATTGCCCCATCGTTGGTGTCAGTGGGAGGAATAGTGCCCCATTGTTGGTGTCAGTGGGAGGAATAGTGCCCCATTGTTGGTGTCAGTGGAAGGAATAGTGCCTCAGCTTTGGTATCACTAGGAGAATTAGTGCCTCAGCGTTGGTGTCCCTATTGATGTAAAGCACGTATTTTCCTTTTATGTTTACATTGTTGTTGTTACTATTTATTTTTTTAACTTCTGAATAAAACGTTTAATAGTGTAATTTAACCGCTTTCCCGCCACCCTATAGCAGAAATCCTGCTACAGGGCAGCAAGAGTGCGCAAAATCACGTATATATATATATATATGTGATTTTGCATTACGGGTAGGGGGCATGCACGGGCCGCACGCGCGCCCTACGTACGGCACCATTCGCTGTCAATCACCGGGTCCCGGCCAGTGATTACTCGCTGGCACATGGTGATTGCCAAGTATTACAGACGAGGGAGAGAACTGTATGTAAACCACACAGATCTCTCCCCTGTCAGCATAGCAGAGCCATACAAAGCAGTGTGCTTACAGTGGAAAGCACACACACAGCCCCATAATAAAAACACACACAGCACACAGTTAATCCTTTGATCGCCCCATATGTTAACCCCTTCCTGGCCAGTGCCTTTAGTACAGTGTCAGTGCTTTTTATTATCACTGATCACTGTATTGGTGTCACTGTGGATGTCAGTGACACCAAGTCAGTTCCCCCCCAGTTTCAGAATGCCGCTATAGGTTGCTGATCGCCCCCATTACTAGTAAAAAGAAAATGAAAAGAAAAAAATTCCAGTATCTTTACCGCCATTTGCAAATGCTATGTTTAAATTGACATAAAGCTATGTTATAATTGCATTTTTTTTTATATTTTGGACTCTTTATTCTAAAGAAAAATTTAATTTCATAAGCTTTAAGGGGGCAGGGCTGGGGGCAGGTTGGGGGACGGGCCAGGGGTGGTGTTGGAGGCTGACCTGGGCAAGGTTGGGTGGAGCAACTGGTGGAGAGTAAGGTTTGTGCCTGGCTAGTAGGTCTAGACTCGAAATGTTAAGCCCTTATAGAGTGCAGAAGAGGTCAGGACTACATAGTGTACATAGTGTACAGCACACACAGTGCAGCAATCAGGAGTATAATATAAGACTAAGTGCAGTGCTACCAACCTAAACAGAACTTAAATGGTCAATGTGAGAATCACAGAAAACATTTCAAAGCATCCTGCAATAAACAATTCAATTTAAAAATCATTTCTGAGAATATGTGCTATGCGTTTTAGACAACTTCAGTGTGAGAAAAATACAAGTGCGGTGCTAAAACATTAGTCCCAATATGCTGTTTAACATAAAAACAAATGCAGGGATCTTAAAAGTGAACAGATCCATAAGCAATATATCTGTCAGTAAAATGTGATATCCAAACTCCACTGGTTCTACCAGTGTTCACCAACAAACAGTGTTCAAATGTAATTCAGAGTGACAATGTCCTTAATATTGTAGCACTACCCCTTTAGGAGTCGGTTAGTTTTGGGTCCCCCTAAAGCTCTGCACTGACAGGCAACACATATTTTCTTCTACACCTGCACGCTGGAGTCAGTAAACAGTCCTGGAGCTTGGTTTTGTGATTTTTATTAAGCTGTAAATAACTTGGATGGGGTTGAGGGATGCATGGGATGCCCAAAGGAACTCTGAACTTTTGTCCATGGACAAAAAGTCTCTCCTTTGAAGAGCTCTCCAGCCCTCTTGGGGTACCACCACAGACCGCAGATGAATCCTCCTGTAACGCTACCCTCACCAGGGCCCCTTGTATTATTTCCATGGGCTCCCCTTTACTCGCCTCACAGTCAGGCACTGTGCATTTCTGCACCCAAATGCACTCATACACTCTATAGCTCATTGTCTTCAGTGACCAGTCTTGGGAATGTTTTGTTTATGGAGTTCTATTGTAGAATTGGGGATAGGGACGTGGAATGTAGTAGGATACTCCAATTATTAGAACTATTCACGCTGAGGACATCTAGCTGATCTTAGTTGAACACCGCAGAAGTCTTGACGGACAGTAGATAGCAGACTTCCTTTTAACATATAGCAGCAAGTAGTTGTAGGAGTGAGCAAAGTCCCCTTTAGCAGTAGTAGTAGTTACAGGGCTGAGCTCCTCAGGGCACAAGCTAGTTACAACAGACTGTGACAGCCCAAAGGTAACGTAGCTGAGCAAAGTCCTTTTGCAGTAGCAACACTCGGACAAGCTCTTCAGAACACTAGCCAGTGTTCCCTTTCTCAGACCCATGCTGACTCTGAAGCACCAGAGGGGTGGCAAGCACACAGAGTCCCCAAATTCCTCAGTGTCAGTACTCACAAGGCTCTCAGACAGAATGGTTGCCTCCTTCCAATTATTCAAGCAAAAACCCTCTAGTAAAACTGGACAGAGCTTTGGCGGAGAGCTCCCTTCAGTCAGCTTACTGAACAACCAGGGTCACTCTCTTTAACTTCAGGCCCTCAGGTTGACCCACCTGCTGCCGCATGGCAGCAAGTTGCTGGTGCAACCCACTCCCAGGAAAGACACTGAACCCATGTGCTCTCAGAATATAAATACCACTCCCAGCATTCAATGGCGCAGCCCTCCCCTGCAATTGGCCAGGGCTGTAGCTATATTCATGCTGTTCATTTGCCTAGCCTCTTACCCGTGTTCTGGAAGGCTCTCATAGCTTCCTGAAGGTGGGCAGAACTCAGACAAACTCCAACAGCAACAGAGCAGCATGAGCAGACCTAACCAATCGATCACAGCACTCTGTTAAGCAGTATACCACACTGAATTTACCTGACAGCCTCTCTGCTAAGCAGAGAAACACAGCTATGCTTAAACTAACTATACACATCGTAG